CTCACGGGTGACAACGCATCTGCATCTTGAGTCTTTATTGAGGATAGATGTAGATGTCTATAGGTCACAGTAACCACTTACCATCAGGTGGACTGTGTGCTCGTTTGTCACCCTATCTATCTATCCTATCATCTATATATAAAAAAAGATACATTTGCTCACGTGTATGCGTGTGTGAGTGTATATTTTGTTGATTTCCAGTGTATTCTAAAGTTAGAAGACAGTAGCACGTACTCTGAAAATTTCAATGTATTCAAGGGTAGTTTTTAACAAGGGTAGGTTGAAAGATTATGAAATTGTATCCTAAAGCATGAAACAATCATTATTTAACTATTTTTAACCATGTTTAGGTTTTTAATGTTATTTTATAATTTTTAAAAACAAGGGGTAGTTCATAGATTAATGATAAGTCATCGCGCGCTCTGACTAATGATAAGTCATCACGCGCTCTGACTAGACACCGCGCTCCATGCAAGTAACAGCTCCATGAGTACGGCATCTTAATATTGTAGTGTGTATAAGACAATTTGCATGATGCTAGTGTGCGTGAAAAATTGTATATGCCAGCAGCTTAACTATTACCCGATTAACGGGAAAATTTATTTTATGCTATGGCTTAGTAGTTAAGTTCATAGTTATGAATGTATTCAAATATACTTAAAAATGAATAGTTTATTAATAACGAATGTATCAATATATTTGTGTATATTATGTAAAGGTTTTTCTTCTGAATAAATGACATATAAATGATAAGGCCTCCTTTTTATCAGTTTAAATCTAACTACTAATTCTAATTCACAAATTATTTAAAAAAACGTAGAGGCGGCTCAAAAGGGAAGTCAGTCTATAGTTCTACAAGAGAACGTTGTCGCCTTTCTTGAAGAACAAGACTACTTCTGCTCCATGCCTCCGGAGTAGTGCCACCATGGAGGACGGAATTAAAGAGCTTCTGAAGGCCTTCAAGTACAGGTTTTTCACCCGCTTTTAGAAGCTCCGCTGTAATTCCATCATCGCCTGGGGCCTCGCCGTTTTTTAAAGTGCTGGAAAGCCATTCTAATTTCGCTCACACTGACGTCCGGAATATCTTCGGAATAATGTCGGATAAGACTCGCTCTTGGATCGTTACTCACACTTGCGTGTGGCTCCAACAATGACGTATACAGCTGCCCATAGAACCTCTCAATCTCACTCAAAATCTCAGGTGTCCCGGAAACGACGTTGCCGCACTCGGTCTTCGGCTTTGACAGTTAGCTCTTTCTGGCAGACAGATCTCTAGTAAAGACTTTGGAGCTCTGGTTCCGCTCAATCGCTTTTTTATAGTATAAGTGTGATAAATGAGTACACAGTCCACTTGATGGTAAGTGGTTGCTGTGGCCCATAGACATCTATATCTATCTTCGATTACGAATCAAAATGCAGATGCGTTGACCTTATTTACGTACGTTATGTACGTAACGTTTTTTTTTATAGGATAAGGGTGACAAACGAGCAACAGTCCACCTGATAGTAAGTGGTTGCTGTGACCCATAGACATCTACATCTATCTTTGATTAAGAATCAAAATGCAGATGCGTTGTCACCCGTGAATACTAAGATGGAATGCCTCGTTTCCAGTAAAAAGGGACTCCGATTTTCTACACTCAGCGTACGAAACACAGCAGCTTTAAGTTGCTATTTTACGCTGGTATTTTGTGAGAGCGTGATCCTTCCCCGGTCGAGCCGACCCATTCGCGCCACAACTATACTATTAACATAGCTGCAATAGTAGCAGTATTAAAGTTGCGTAAGTCCCGCCGCATGCAAATGGAGATGTTTGTTCAGTTGCCTGTACGCTGTCAAATCTATTAAAGACTGCAGCTTCGTTTCCCTTCTAACAGCTATAAAATTAAGAGTGTGATTGGGGAGTTTTTGTGTTCTTCTGTGGTGGGTTTTGCAAAACTTAGCTCTGACGGCATGGACAGCTTCCACGAAATTTTCATTCTTATCGTCTATGTTACGGCCTATGGCTGCTCCAGCAAGGGTTCAATCATTCGGGGCCCATGGAGTCGGACACAATGAGTCTCTGGGAAGCTCTCCAGCACGGAATGCGCGACACAAATCCTAGACAGAATATTTACTATCCGCGCCTAATTATTCCGAGTTCCCTAACAAAATTGACAGTGTGCTGACGTTAGCACCGCTGACAGACGACTAGCTGCGCTTGGGCGTTTTTCGCACGACCGAATGTCAAACCGGTATCACACCGAGCCGCGCGCCCTCTCGTGTTAGTTCCTGAAATTACCGATTGGCGTGAACAGTCTACTTCTACTGTATTGCAATCTTCTAGGCACTGAAAACGGATTTGTAGGTCGAGCTGAAAGGTTTCAGGACTTTGGATTAAAGCACGAGCGGGACAGAGCGTTGACTTCATTAGATGTGACCTCTCCAACTTAACGTTTAGGTTTAGTGTGCCTCCCGACATTCGGTGTTCGCTGCCCGTTTTCACCCTCACGGTTACTGAGACCTGATACCTGAGATAATGATATTGCATAAATATATATAAATGGGATATAATTAAAATCATTAGCGTATTTTTAATATAAAAGTATAGATTAGTTTAAGTAAAAGTAGTATTATAGTAGTATAATACTCATGTTACAAAGTACAAAGTACGTTTTGACTAAAATTTCGCAAATCTAGAGCTAAAATTTCACTTGCAGTAAAGTTTACAAATCATGTTAAGTAATTTTTCAAGCACCAATATTACAATTAAACACGAAAAAAGTTACACTAATAAATCGTGAACTAGTTTATCGTTCTTGGACAAAGGTCAGGGCAATGGCAAATTCAAGGTCGCATGTATTCGGCACAAATCAAACAAGATGTAAATGCCTATAAGCCAAACTCAACAGAGATTGCGACGTCTTGGTACTTTGCTTATTTTTAACTTGTTATTTTTTCTTTGTCGTTATTCATTTAATTAACTTAAAATATTCCTTAATACGAGTAGTAAGGTACAATGGATGCGAATAATAACAATTTCACCCTGTATATACTCGTATTATGAATATTTTTGAGAGTTTTGTTGCTGGCTCAGTAAAAATTTCAGGTTCAGATGAATAGACTGGAAAAAGCGAGGACCTTTAATTGGCTTACTGTAGCTATTAAGTATTATCTATCTTAGTTATTATAGCTGTTGTCCTTCCAAATAAAATAACAAAATAAGGTATCTCCCGTTGTGGGTTTGCTTTTATCGTCACGCTTGGCAGTCGATTGCAGTACCAGACATCTCGCACATTTGGCGCTGCTTGTCTGGCATAAACGAGATGATTGTACCGCCATCTATCGGAAGTCATAAGATCTTTCTAGCGTTTCTTTTAGTCGTCACATACGACACACACGGGGCGACATGGGTAAGGCCCGTATTAATAAACGTTACTCAGCTCAAGTACACGCACTTTAGTACAATATTGAGGTTATGATCTTATTAATAAACATATAGCAAAATGCGGTTTAGGTATACGATATCAGCTGAGTACCACACTGATTAATAAACGAAACTCGACTCTCAAGTGTGTGTACTTGAGTGCAAGTCACAGAACAATATTCCTAAGGACAGTGTTTTGAGATACTGTTTTTATGTGTTTATTAATTAGCAACGATATTTAGATGCTCATATCGTAATAAGGGCGAATCAAATGATTACGCAGTTGAGTTCGTCGTTGAGTAACGTTTATTAATACGGGCCTAAATGCATTGTGTGCACCACGACCGCATCGTGACAATTTAGTAATTTGTAGTAAATTACGTAAAAAAAAAAATCGTAGAAAGATGTGTACTGTACGACGTTACTACATCTTCTATCATTTTAACGTTAATTCCCGGTAAGTACCTACTATCTGGGAGTAGTGGTTGTTAACAGGGAAATGATCTTAGTAGCTTTTTAAACAAGCCTAAATGGGGTATTAAGTCCAACATAATTACATAAAAAGAAAACAAATAATTATTAAAGTTAATTTTTATTCCACATAAAAAAAAATCCATAAATTATTATTTACATCTTTTATTTACTAATTAAAGCAGAACCAAAGTTCTCCAAAACATTTACAAACAGCGACAAAAAAACGACAACTTATTTAATTTATTACATATTAAACAATTTATTTTATTAATTTCTAAGTATCATAGAATAACCGAGAAAACTACAAATAATTATATAAAAAAAAAACTAGCGATGACTTTGTCATTTTATAAACAAAAATATATTATTATCGCTTATCAGCCTCGTGTTAATATATTATTCGTGTTAAATCTATTACGTAAAAATAATTATCTTCACAGAAGATATAAATTGTTATTTATAGAAATATAATCCAAAATAAAGAGTATAATAAAAAATCTCAGTCATTTTCGAGACTATCGCCACAATTATTTTATAAGTTGTTTATGAAATTTGTTTTAATTAATTAAAAAATCATAATCAGAGGCATTATCAGTATTAATTAAAAAGTGTTTCAAGCTTTGAATGAATCAAATTTTCCTAAAATTTTAATAAGGATAATCGAATGTGCTGTGCAATTATAAGATTGTTTTAAAGTAGATATGTTTTAATAGTTTAACTTGTAATATCGTAACAAATATTTTAAATTAACAAATTAAACAATCTTTAAAGTATTAACATTATGACCCTCTTATCTAAGTTTATGAACAGCAATGATTATAAATAACGTTCCGGGAATTCATTTTGCTGTGCACTTAGCAAATTATATAACGACTGGTTTTTCTCAGATGTTCAAATTAAGAATCACCAAATGATCAATTTTCAATTTATCTTTAAGGTTAATAATGTAACACAAATTTTATTAAATATTGTTAAAATAAGATAATCAATTTATATTAAATAATTTATAATAATACATATTCATTTTCCAATTTAAATTTTGATTTTATATTATTTATTAATAGAAACTTATTAAAAAGACTAGTAAATTAATTGTATATGGCAATTATTTAAGTCATTACTAAACCTTAGAAGTAGCTGTTAGCATTACATAGCTGGCTCTAACGCTTTCTTCTGGTGCAGCCTCCGGTCTAAAGCATCGATGTGTGTTATATTCCGTTGGTTTTTTTAACATCTTTCTTACAAACCAAACAAGACCAATTACAATAATCATCAAGCCAAGAGCTACACCCACTAAAGCTGAATTCAATCCCTTCATACCAGATTTCATTTCCATGGAGCCAAGCGGTTCCTGCAGTTGAGGAACAACACATATTGGTAGTGTTTCATCAGTTTTGTACTTAGAAATCTTGGCGCAGACTTCGTATGGCCCTCTCACAAAACCATCCATGGATATTTCTAAAGTAGATCGGCACGGCGTATCTTTCTGAGCTACTAAAGACCCCTTGGAGAGGACGGCCAAGACTACATAACAATTGTATATGGCAAGATATTTGTTGTCAGGCGCCGATAGTCTCTGAGATCGTGGTAAGACGTACGGAGAACGGGTCGCGGGTATACCCATTACTGATATAAGTACAGTTAGGACCCCATCACCGGTCACGTTGGAGCGAACTTCTGAAACTCTAAAAAATTACTATGGTTAATATTTTAATGGTATTGCATGGTGTAATATCATAAGAATATTCAAAATTCCATTTAACGATTGCTAGTTGCAGTCAAGGATTCTTTACATTAGACCTTACAAACTATTACACGTTCTAGAACTTTTAAGGTCGTTAATTATTGAACCTTGAATAAATTAAGTAAGGGATAACTATTTAACTGTCAATGAGGATAAACTTTCGTATTATGGGGGGGGGGGGGGGGGGGGCAAGAGTAACCACAGCTCAGCACGTCAGTATGGGTTTCAAGAAATGGCGGCATACTATCTCGTTTACCACAGACGTAAATTACTAAAAGCAGCGACGGGCAGCAGAGTCAAAGGCGTCTGGTTCTGCAATTGGCTACCCATCTCACGCGTGAGGATTAAGGCATAAAACTCGTATTCTCATTTAATAGACTTGTGTGGACTGACAAAAAAGGTGATAAAATAATTTACAAAATCCTACGTTTTCTATAGTGGCGTGTAATATCAATAAAAAAAGGCATGAAAACTGAATTAATTTTGTCATAATTTATCGAAATATGCCAATGGATTGTGCTCTAATATTTCCCTAGGAATAACGTAACTAGTAATGTCCTCCAGGGTGGTTTTCACGCACGGTGGCAACTACGAAGTGTTCGGAAGATAAAAGTAAGTAAGTTTATCCAGAGTCAGTCACTTTTCCTTTCTTATATGTACCCGATTTAATGCTCATGCATATCTGAAGTAAGATAAGATCCAGAGTCATAGACTATCAATCAAACAAACACAGCCCTAAAATAAACAATTTTAAGTTTTGCTGGCTCGTCTACGAGATTTCAACGTGAGACCTTAGAGTGGTAATCAGGTACTCTACACCTCAATCGTAAGGAAGAAACCTGTAATCATGTTATGTTATTATAAATTATTGCTGTTTCGACTAAGGAATCTAGTCACTGGTTACACGCTATACCATCAAGTAATCTCGGCACATTACTTGATGGGGAAAGCTTGCGTATTGTTGCCGTAGGAATCCGACTAGGGGCGGCGCTTTGTCAACCCCATGAGTGCCCCTGTGGTAGCAGCGTCGACAAGTTTGGGCTCCACGGACTTTCATGTAAGAAAAGCACTGGTAGGTTTTCACAACACAGTTCTTTAAACGATGTCATCCGAAGGGCTCTTGTCTCTATAAATGTTCCCTCGGTTTTAGAGCCTTGTGGAATATTTAGAGACGATGGCAGGAGACCCGACGGTATGACATTGGTCCCTTGGGAGAGAGGTAAAGCCCTAGTGTGGGATGCTACTTGCGTAGACAATCTGGCGGCCTCTCATCTCAGGGGTACCTCGTTTAGAGCCGGGGCGGCATCAGAGGTAGCTGAACTACGTAAGTGGCGCAAATATGAGTCTCTGAGAGATGACTACATATTTGTGCCATTTGCTGTAGAGACTACCGGTCCGTGGGGTCCACGTGCGGTGAAGTTCTTAAAGGAACCTCATCCGCGGCTGGTCGTTGCTGCTGTTGATAAGAGGGCTGGTTCTTTTCTCGCTCAAAGGCTAAGTATAGCCATTCAGCGGGGAAACGCAGCCAGCGTTCTTGGCACGATACCGCGGGGAGTAGGACTATATGATAATTAAATTTCTAGTTTTAGTTTTTTTTTATTATTATTATTATAGTTTCTAATATTGTATATAATTAAATCTATATCAAATTATAAATAATATAATATTTATAAAACGTCTTGCACAATATACAAGCAACTAACCTGAACATAGGCCTTGCTGGTGGAGTAGTAGCGGGGACGCCCGATACAGTTATGTACTCAGCCCTTTGCCTTACAGGTTGCGGCGCACCACATCCAAGCACGAGAGCCATCGGCACATCTTTATTATCCATTTCTTCCAAAGCGACGCAGAATCTACATATTTTGAAAGACATCATTACTTGTTTTAATTTAGTAATTCAACATGACATTTAATGTCCTTGCACCTAGTGGGTATAAATGACCATGTAGTTGCAGTGTAACAATATACACTACCAAATATTATCGTTTTATTTTATATAGGATAGGGTGACAAACGAGCACACAGTCCACCTGATGGTAAGTGGTTTCTGTGACCCATAGACATCTACATCTATCCTCGTTTGCGAATTAAAATGCAGAAGCGTTGTCACCCGTGAGGACTAAGATGGAATGCCTCTTTTCCAGTAAAAAGGGTCTTCGGTTCTCTACACTCACCATACGAAACACAGCAGTGTTAAGCTGCCATTTTACGCTGGTATTATGTGAGAGTGTGATCCTTCCCCGGTCGAGCAGACCCATTCTTGCTACAACTATGCTAATAATAATTATCGTCCCGTGGGTGTCGTAAGAGACGACAGAGAGAAATAGATACAGGTGATGGGCAGCAGCATCTTCCTAATAACAGCACAACAAAATCACCCTATGATGCAATCTATGAGGGAGGCCTATGTTCAGCAGTGGACTTTGATAGCCTGTAATGCATGTAATGGTAATGGGTTTGAAATACTTCTTCGGGTTTAAAAGCATTTACATTTTATAATATCATATGGTAATGTAATATGTTTGCAGTGTAAGAAAATCCATCACCGCATGCCATCCCATAAGTGTCCTAAGAGGCGATTATGCAAAATGAGAGAAACATGTGTCATGGCCTCCAATTAAAATCAAAATAGATGTTGTCAACTGTATAACTATCCATCCATTGATAAATCTTCATACAAAATACTCATACAAATGAAGCACGGACACTTGTAAAACATGACGTTCCGGTACAGCAAATTCATTATCATTTGAAACGAGTCGGATTAATTATTTAATATGTATATGTTACTGTAAAACTTCGAACTAAGGTAAATTCTAAGATTTTCCAGTAAAACCTATGATTTACCAAGTCTTAAAAGCAAAAGTTCGAACTGGTCTGTGGAACTGATCTTTTTTTTTTATAGGATAAAGGTGACTAACGAGCACACAGCCCACCTGATGGTAAGTAGTTGCTGTGGCCCATAGACATCTACATCTATCTTCGATTAAGATTCAAAATGCAGATGCGTTGTCACCCGTGAGGAATAAGATGGAATGCCTCGTTTCCAGTAAAAAGGGTATCCGGTTCTCTACACTCACCATACGAAACACAGCAGCGTTAAGCTACTATTTTACGCTGGTATTCTGTCAGAGATGAATCGTTAATTTACTACTATTAACTTAGTAAATCTTAGGTTTTACATCAAAGACACGTAAAATGTTGAAAAATAGTCATGTCTAGAAGTGTTTGGCGCATTATCGTGCTCGCGGATAATGTGCAGTGTCACCTCTCTCCGCTCGACACAGTCCGTCGCTTAGTACCTACTTTTTTGTTGTCTAGAAGTATTTAAGAGACAAAATGTGTGTGATACAACGATTTTATGGAATACTGACATTAAAACCTAGTCACAAAATATTTTAAAATTTAGTCGGTAACATGATTCGATGCTTAATAAATACTTTCTACCCTTATTATATATTTTAGTTCCAAAACCAACATTTACTAATAATAGTCACTGGTAAAACCTAGCATGTACCAAACTATAATGGCAAAAGCCCGAAAAATAGTCTCATTGTCATGTTGGTAAATCCGAAGATTTAAAAGAAAATCCTAAGATTTACCCAAGTAGGTACGGGCTTTTACTTTTTTAATAACATATACATGTTATTTCTGTTCGTATGTATAGCATTAATAAAAAACTTACGTATAATACTCGGTGGGGTCAATCTTTAATCCTTGTAACACAATATTCGCAGGCGGGGCTCTATGACAAGCAACGTGTTTAGGCAAACTTCCACCTCTCGAAGCTGTGACTCCAGTACAACGAAATCGCCGTAACGATGGAGGATCGAGAGACCATGATAGATGCACTTCCTCTTTGTCATACCAAGCATCTTCAAGTCGTACCTGAGTGAATACAAATATTTATTGCAATATTTGATCTTAAGAAAAAATATTGCTACATAATAATTTTGTTTAACCGATAAAATTATGAGACTGACATGTGACTACATGAGATGATAATAACAGGATTATTAGTAACTAGCTGTTCCCCGCGACTTCGCCCGCGTGGTAGTTATTTTTCGCGGAACCCTAAAATTAAAGCAGCCCAAGTTACTCCTTATAACTTCAGCTATCTGCCAGTGTGTAAAAATATTGAAAAATATTGACATTAATATTTATACGATACTAACGTCACTCAATTGTTTTGCCTTCCCGGAACCCCTCCACTAACACTTTAACTTTATGGTATGGTATTAAAGTTCAAATTGACTTTTAAGTATTATTACGAATCCTTTGTATGGGAATATAGAAAAGTGTTGTTTTTAGACATTTTCAGGCGAGTATTTTTTTAATTTTTCTCTCCGTAAGAACCATCTTCGTACTTCAAAGAATATTATAAAAAAGAATTAGCGAAATCGGTTCAGCTGTTCTCGAGATTTGCGCTTAGCAACACATTCAGCGATTCATTTTTATATTATAGATGAAGAAAACTGCTCCCTAGTACAACAGTTGGCAGAAGATTTCGTTACCATTATTAATGCTAAAATGAAATTGGTAATTTTTTTAAACATGTACAAACTTAGAATATGTGCAATCTAATGAAACATTCGCTTATGTTACTAATATTTCAATTCATACTACATAAATAACATAGAAGAGCATGTCATAATATCATATTATGGATAGTAATAATCCACGCCGTACAATCTATCATCGAATTAATTTTAATACGGAGTAACACTATTGAATATTGGTGAATCCAATTTCCAATCAAATAAATATGTTTACCAACCAAATGTATAATTACTTACGTACAGTCAACAGGAAACGTTAATTTAGTAAAAGTATAATAACTTTAAATTTAAATTTGTAATAATGTGTTTAACATCGTAATTATTATGGTACTTGTTTGTTATAACTTGATTCACAATACATTAAAAAAAAATAATTTTTTTTAATTTATTACTTGATGAGTATGAAAAATTTTTAATAAATGAACTTAAGATCTTTTGGAAAGCATTGATTTTGCCACATATTTTCAGATGGTGTTCATTGATATTGATTTCTCATATTCATGCTTATCATGAATATGAGAAATGTTCATGATTATTGAAGGCATTGTGGCGGCGCTGTCGTCGCGCCACAAGCGAAACACATCGAAGCCTAAATCGCGCTAACAAAGTTTCGAAGTTAAAGCAGTATATATAGAATAGCTCCAAACTACCACTCGGAGAGAGATGAGAGAGAGATCTGCCCGGCGGGAGATCTCCCCTTTTCCTTCCACCCGCCTCAGTGGTGACCAAGACGTGATATGAACACGCAACCAATATCCTTCGGAAACTACACATTCAAACCTTCATCATCCTCAAGTACCCCATTCATTCGCTCCCGAGCAGATATTGTCTGCAGTCTTCACATTCTGCAAGCCACCTAGCTTTATAAAGGTTCATCGCAGCACTGGAATAATAATGCTTCCTGTTCCTTCAAGCTACTCTCTGCGCTACAGTGTTCGGCACGGTTCTGAGCCTTATTGCTCGTCTCTGCTTCAAGGCACTCTCGCAGATTACATGCCTTCTTCTCGAGTCACCGCAGAATACAAGGCATTCCCTGGCACTTGCTCCGGCTCATCGTTCTCACCGGCATCACTTGTAAGTGCGTAGTTTGACATGCATTACACACCGGCATATCGTCCGCACCGGCGACACTTGCCCTTACGCACACAGCATGCATTCCCCACTGGAATTGAGGACGCACCGGCAATCGGACTGTACTATCGACCTCCGGTCTGAGCAGTCTGAGGACCTCAGGTCTGAGTCTGAGGGGAGTGATGTGGCGGCGCTGTCGTCGCGCCACAAGCGAAACACATCGAAGCCTAAATCGCGCTAACAAAGTTCCGAAGTTTAAGCAGTATATATAAAATAGCTCCGAACTACCACTCGGAGCGTTGGCCGCTCCCCGGGCAGAACACCTTGCCCGGCGGGAGATCTCCCCTTTTCCTTCTACCCGCCACACAATTAATAAAGTGCATAAATTTTCATCACATTAACATAATGCCTTTTCTACCGATTTCAAAAAGGAGACGGTACGCAATTCGACTGTATGTTTTATTATGTGTACCTGAATGGGTTTTTTGTGTGTATTTGAATTGTTCTATAGATTCACTTTTGGACCTAATAGGTGCGAATCACTAGTTTTTACTAATTTTGTTTGAACTTCCATTTAGTCTTCATCTGCTTGCAAAAACCCATAAAATTCCAACGCTGGAAATAGGGGATAGGTGACATTTGCCATAATTACCACACTTGATAGACGGATCGATTGCAGTACCCGACATCTCACGCATTTGAAATTATTTTTTACGTCTGGTATAAACGGGATGAATATCATAGCAAAATTTTAATTTTGACGACATCCATAACATGAAATGTGATGTGATGTGACGAATGGATCTCTAAAGAGGGCACTAGTGACAGGTTCTACAAGTTATTGCCGTATAGTTGTAGCGTAAGAATATCTGCTACGCCGTATCATTCCGTGGCATGGTGTCGTAAAAGGCGACAGAGTGAAACTTAATCAGGAGATGGGCAGCAGCATCTTTCTGCGAGCAAATTCATAATAATCATTGAACGTTCGAGTCTTCAAACAGAGTAGACGCATACTTATTCTTTGCGAAATATTTTATTCTTCATAGAATAGGGGAAAACATGTAAAAAAGGTTTAAAAAATTTTTGTAACCTTGCACAAAAATTGTTATAAAATATTTCATTAGAAGCTTTCTTTGATACATAAATAAATAAAATTAATAATCATCGTAAAAACACTAAAAATAAATATAAGAAGATCAATATATATTAATTGCAAACAATTAATTCCGGTAGTCTGACTGTTACACAGTGCTACCTCATAACTTTTTACATTTTTTTATTTGAAAGCTGGTACTTCACGTGTCCTATGTCAATTTCAATAAGGTCTACCAATAGCTTTTGAGTTATTCTTATTATATTTATATTGAGGTCGGTTGTACAAAATTTTTAATTTTTAATTATTTTGTTTCTTATTACATTCTTATTGCAACAACTGTTGGTGGTTGAATTAAAAAAAAAAAACATTCTAAAAGTTTTACTTGAATAAAATCTTAACGATTTAAAGAATAGGCATATTACATAACTTTATAATTTTATATACGTCGAATTATATTTTCTGATTAACATTACTTACTTTTGTCTTAGATATCGGTAAATCTTCTTCCGCTGGTACTTCCAATTCCTCATCATAAATATCATCATCTAAGCCTTCAGGTTTATCGATATATAAATCATCATCAACTACCGGATCATCAATACTAAGCTTATCATGAGTCGCGTCAGTATCGTCATCGAATATTTTATTGTAATCGTAATTTATTTCTTGTTTGTGTTTTATTTCTATATGTTCAAAATCATCGCAAAGTTTGTTTTTCGATAATCTAGATAGGAGTGCTCCTTCTAAATGGGGTGGCGTGGCGCAGACTGCGGCAGATTTATCAGACTGAGACAGGTTTTTTGCTTCCCTCAACCACCTTGCAAAACCAGCCATTAAACAGTCGCAATTGAGTGGATTATCTGCAATTGAGACCAAATTGATCACTCGTCACAATGTTTTATACTATAAAAGAATACGATGAGACTTATTAAGTTTTTAAACTGAAGTTAATAATAGAAAATCATGTAATAATGCCATGATACCTCAGGGACTAAGCACACGCTGTGTATTCTTGTATGCTATATATAACTTCCTAGTATGCTAGCAACCCGAGTTTGTTCCCCACCGACACCGATAAAATTGTTAGTTGCGGTTTTAAGTTTTGTCCCGCTGGGTTTCTTGTTGGTTCTTCCCAGGACAGAGGTATTATCCGAACCAGTGGTAAATAAAATAATGACTTTCAATAAGTAGATATTATGTAATAATCCATATTGAATAAAAACCATTCTATTCTATTCTAAGCGCTGGTTTACCACGTGCTCGGCGATGAAGGAAAACATCGTGCGGAGACTTGTATGCCGGAGAAATTTAATAAAAGTACATCAAAGACATACGAAGCAACAAACCTTTTCGGCAGTGCGGGAGACCTGTGCCTAAAAGTGGGACATATAGAGGTTGTAACTTTACTTTTAACTAGCTGGTACCCGGCGCATTATAGAAAATATAATTATGCAAATACCGTTTTAAATTTGAAATAGTTGTACTGTTTAATTAGGAATCATAATACATTCATTGAAGTTGAATAGATATATAACTTTCAAATAAGTGTTTCGGTACGATACGCGCGCCACCTACAGTAAATTAATTGTACTATAAACTTCGCGCAAGTGCAAGCAATAAATCGATGCGATAAAATGATGCGCATTGTGATGAGCGGTAAGGCTGCGCATAAAATACGAACAAACAAACATTAGTTTTATGTATTAGATAAATCTTATTTCGTCATTGACATTTTTCTTTCAAATTGCGAGCTTGTAATAATACGACTAATATATAGTAATACATGTATCATACTTAAAATCGTATTAAGTATTTATCTCTATCTCTATATATAAAAATCATTTGCTGTCCGTTAGTCTCACCAAAACTCAAAAACTTTGATGAATTTTTTGTGTGCGTTTGAGTAGGTGGATGGTAGGTGGCGCTGTAGTCGATATCCAGAAATCACTCATTCTAAGCCGGGGTGAATCGCGAAAAGTTTATAAAACATAACAAACCCAGACAGTAGTAGACTTATAATATTTTTTTATAGGATAGGGTGACAAACGAGCACACAGTCCACCTGATGGTAAGTGGTTACTGTGACCCATAGACATCCACATCTATCTTCAATAAAAAAGCAAATCATAAGGCACATGCGTTGTCACCCGTGAGGATTAAAATGGAATGCCTTTTTTTCCAGTAAAAAGGGTCTCCGGTTCTCTACACTCACCATACGAAACACAGCAGTGTTAAGCTGCTATTTTACTCTGGTATTCTGTGAGAGCGTGCTCCTTCCTTAGTCGAGCCGACTAACTCGTGCTACAACTACACTACGAATATAGCTGCTGCATGGCTCTACCACGTAAAAATAAATTCACATATCTTAAAAGTTTATTCAATAAGACTGTGCAATAAAATACAAGTTAATACAGTCGTACTGCCTTTCAATACTTTTAATCATAAAACTTAACCTTCTATTGTAAACCGACTCAGGTCCTTGTGCTGCGCCAACGCTCCGTCATCAATCATAGATATGTCGTTGTCATGAAGAAGTAAATCAGTAAGACGTCCTAGAGTCTTTAATGGTTCTGCAGAGAGTGATCGTAAAAAGTTGTGCGATAAGTCCAAATGGATCAAATTTGTAAGCTGAGCTAGAGAAGCGCCTAAAAAAATATTCGTATACATTTTAAAACGAACTCACTTTAATCTTATTTTATTTAAGTTAATCTTCATTCATCCATCCATCCATAACAGCCTATAAAAGTCAACTCAACATAGACTTCCCCCGTAGATTGCCTCATAGGGGGAAATTTGCCATAGTGGACACGCTTGGCGAGCGGGTTGTCAAACGCAGTTTTTCATTATTTTGAGTTGTCATCAGGAAGACGCTGCTGCCCATTACCCTGTTTCAATTTCCCTCCGTCGTCTCCTACAACACCCATGGGACGATATGGGGTAGTGGATATTCATACACCCCCACTAAACGATCAACAAAGTTAATATTATCGTTAGTTAAATTAAGAAGTAGTATAGTATTATGTCATAAGTCTTAATTTAAAATCATAACTAATCTAATTCTCAACATTTTTTTAAATGTATTAAACCATTGTTATAAAATAAACATTGTAATAAATTATTAAATTAGAATTTTGCAACACTAATATTATTTTGACAAAACTCAAAAAAAGTTAACTTATTAGGAAAGTATTAAGTAAAAATAAATTAAAATTGTTTTAGATACATACGATTTCTATTTTATTCCATTTAAATATTTTATGGCAATTTAACTATTCTTACCCGACACCGCCACTATCTCGTTATGTGACAAGTCCAAATGTGTCAAATTAGTGAGGTGTCTGAACGCATAGTCCTCCAGTACATCCACTTGGTTGTTATGCAGATTCAAGTGTGTCAAGTTTGTAAGACCTGAAAATAGAAATTCAGCGCATATTCTTATTTTAGACAATGGAATAGATACAGACAGAAACTTAATTTTCGTATTAAGCACATTAATACAATATATCAAAGGATAATATGTTACAAAACAAAAGTAACGCAAAAACATGCTTGAGTGTCGTGGAACACTCGGTTGGAACGAAGTTCCTTTTCGAAGTTGTAGTATATTATTATTGATAAACGTATTATATTATTGATTAACAAACACAAATAAATGAATTACTAGCGTCTGTTAAAATGAAGCGTCATCTATACAAATAAATAAAATTGAAGTGTCTGTTTGTAATGTCAAAATACCAGCATTTTACTAAATGTACATGAAAGTATATAAGGTACTTATAATAAAAACACAATTTTTTAAATTTTTGTCTGTCTGTCCGCCGTCTGTCTGTCTGTTTGTTCCGGCTAATCTCCGAAACGGCTGGACCGATTTCGACGGTACTTTCACTGACAGATAGCGGATGTTATAAGGAGTAACTTAGGCTACTTATATTTTAGAAAAGAATTAGGGTTCTGGGCAACATAATTAAAACCCTAAATATCACGCGGGCGAAGTCGCGGGGAACAGCTGGTTTAAAATAAAATAATATTTCTTTCATGGCAAGATAAGAAAAATGCGAGGGAGATGCTGCCAAGGCCGTCTACACTACGTCAAAATGGTTTGTGACGGAAAAATCTTACACTTTTTCTCGCCTAGCCCGCATCCGCCAAATTCGTACCGTGCGATAAGGAACTTCGTTAATAAATCAAAAACTAAAAAGAATGAAATAATTTCCACAAAAATTTTCGATGCGTTTTGTGTCAACACTATTTTTTTACCCTTTCATCATCACCATTCCGGTTTTGGAACAAGAATGTCGTCTAAACGGTTAGTTACATTAAAAATTTTATGCCCTGGTTTTCCCTAAAACTCGTATGAAATACGTACAGAAAATTCAAACGATTTTTTAAAGTTTTAAATGCTTATTAAAATTATAATATTAAACAGGAAACATTGCTTTCTTTCTTATTCTTTTTAACTGTTATATAACCTAAAAACATAAAAGGATAGACAGAATTAGAAACACTATGCACTGTGTTTAATAATTAGAGAAATATAACTGCAAAGGATCATGATGGCCTTGGGCAGGGTAGACGATCTCAACGCTACTGGTTAGAATTAGCAAAACCAAGAAGAATAAATGTAAGAATATAGGAAAAACGTTCGCCGGAATGATATATGAGAATAAAACATAATATATCTAAAGAATATATTTTAAAATAACTTTTGAATCAGTTTTACCTGCTAATGCTCCTCGACGTATACTAGCAAATGTATTGTCTGAAAGATGGAGTATATTCAGAAAACTTAGCGGTGGTATCGTTGTAGGCCCCAACGGACCCTCCAGAGCATTGCTCGAAAGATCCAGTTCTCGTAAATAATGGGCATCCTATACAAATAGAAAACTATTGAGTTATATTTTATAATCCATAAAAAACCTATATATGTAGTATATAATTGTTAGTAAACTTTGTTATTAACTGTTGGTTATTGTGAACTTCTGAACGACTTGACCGATGATGAATAAAGGTTATTTAATTTAATTACATAATATTAATTTGTCAAGACGATGGTTCAAGTTTGGTTGTAGATGTAGATGGTTTAGTCAAGCTATTAACAAATCTGGGGGCACGGCAGTGCCCCCGCTAAGTCGAGCAAAAAAGCAATACGGCCCTACCATCCTTTTCTCATCTTTACATCTGAAGCAATTCAGGCCATTTTTTCTATATTTCTGGATGAAAAACAAAATTGATTTACATTCACAATATCTTGGTTTAGTGCTAAAAAAGAAAATCACATAATCTGAACCCAATAGGTGGTGCTGTGGTAGAACTAATTAATAAATTTAAAATTAATTACACTGTAAAAAAGTCCGGAGTGAATTCGGAGTGAACCTATTAATTATATTATTTATTTTTAATGTTAAAAAACTTATACTCAGATACCATACTATAATTAATATGTTATATATTTTTAGAGAAGTAAATGGCTTTAATAATTATATATATTCTAATTATAGACATAATTAATAAAATAATATGATATAAATTTCCATTTTTAATACTATAAGTGGAACTGTTACATAAAGATCAAACTAGATTAGAGTGATGTTTCTGTTATCTTGTGCCTGCTTATAAGAGCTACTATCATATTCTATGATGTAAGTAGTTTTATCCTCTACTTTTAATGAGCAATTCTTCTATATTACAAGTAATTGGTTTCTCGGAAACGGCTCTTACGATTTGGACGAAATTTTGTATTTAGCTAATGTTTTACTTTTCAAGTTAGTTTAACTTATAAAAGTACTCGAGGTACTGTGTTAGTGTTTAAATCTCTAGTACCGATGGTTTCATATTTACTATCAGGTTTCTATGTGTTTATTATAAATTATAACATTAATTAGGTCTCTGACACTAATTCCTAGGCCACATCTGTATTCCCCTCTTAATCATTAGGTATGTCGGATACAGGTTAGAACAATAAGCAATACCTCTGTGTTTGCGAATGTATTTACGGCACTATAATATGTCCCGAGTTATTGTAAATAGTCATTGTATGTGTATTTTTTTATTAACCTTCACACTAGGATTTTCTCCTGTATCGTGAGGACAGTTTATATACATAAATTTCACAAGAAGGAACATCCAAACCTGAAAAAATTATTTGAAGGCCATACAAAAACTTGTTACCGCGGTTCTAAGCGCTGCAACTCATTGTACACTGCGCCACGGAGCCGTCAAAATAGATAGGATAATCTGATTTTAATAACCTATTCCTTAAATTAAAAACTAAGTGAAGACATCATCATCATCATTACAGCCATTCATAAGTCCACTGCTGAACATAGGCCTCTCCCAAGTTATGCCACAAAGCACCCATCGTCACCCATCTAGTGGAGGGTCGCCCTACACTTCGCCTACCGGTACGAGGCTGCCACTTTTTTCCCCATCGTATGTCGGTTCTTCGAGCAATATGGCTGGCCCATTGCCACTTCAGCTTACTAATCCGTTCAAGTGAAGTCATACAACACGAAAAAAACTGTTTAATTTTGCAAGTTATACATATATAGAAATACATTACTCAATCCGAGTTTCGTTGTAACAACCGCCAAAGTTTAAAACGAAGCTATTTTCGACTATAGCACTATTTAAATACCATAGTTAACGTACTGTGAGTAAACTCGTATATGGTAAAGCTAAAAATTTCCAACAAAATTTATTTAACACAGTAGAGCCATGCTGCACTATATTATGGCTGCAACATGATTAGATTAACTCGACTAATGAAGAACCAACCAACGTGAAATCGCAGTATGGTGATTCGTATGGGAAGTGACTAGAAATTTTAACTTTTAAACCTTTTGAACTTATTTCAATATGGTAACTCTTTTTTCACCTAATTCCAGACATCTGAATAATCTGAAATTTTGTGGACGTATTAAAAACCTATGACAATGCAATAAATTCAAGGAATAAGACTTACTAATCTCATTAAGATCGTCGCAGCTCATGATTAATGGGTATTATTCAAGCTAATATTATTACTGGTAATGAAACATGCAGTCCTCAGTGGTGACAAGGCATCAGAATTAAAATGCAGATTTTAATTCTTAATCAACATGTAGGTATATATTGGTCACAATGCGACTTCCATTAGATGGACTGTAGTTTTTCATAGTGGCAACGGTTACAAACGAGTATGCAGTCGCAACTGATGATACCTAAATGCTGATGGTGAACCTACTTAAGATTTCATAAGAACTCCGATAGAATAGGATGTTGTGTCAGAGATAAGGAAATAAATTTAGTTTGAGGCAATTTTACTTTAACTGAAATACGACGAAATAAAAACGCGAAATATAAGACAAGTACATTGACCACTATACCGACGGCCATTAAAATAATATAATGCTTGCAAAATAACCTTAACACGATGCGGAAATTATTTTAAAATCCAATACTTTAATAAAAAACAATCTCGATACGTACCTTTAACGAAGCTAAAGCGGGAACTTTCAGAAGATTTCCTCTCAATCTAAGTACAGTAAGTTTTGACAACGGTATGAATGTATCCGGTGATATTACAGTCAGTTGATTATCACTTATATCTAGATAAGTGAGATTTTTGATACCCTGCAAAGCATAGGATATAAGTTATTCCTAAATAAAATTGAACAAAGAAAATACTACTCAAATAAACACTTAATCTTTATATATAAAAATTACGTGTCACGTTGTTTGTCCGCGATGAACTCCTCAACTACTGAACTGATTTCAATGAAATTTTGCACACTCTGTGCAGTTTGGTCCAACTTGAGAGGTAGGATAGTTTTTATCCTGATAAATGACACTCAATATTTTTTATTAAGAAGTTAAGGATTTTTTATATGAAGGGTCGTCGAAAAGGGCAAAACAACGTCTGCCTGGTCAGCTAGTATATTATAAATTCTTAATATTCTTAGTTAGTCACTACAAGTGAGCTTAAAATGCTTGTGTTAGAAGTACGTAGTTTGCGGCAGTAATGAAATAGTGGATTCAAATTCACACACAACACATCACAACCTTTAATTTTAAAACAAGGTCAGTTGCCTTTACCATGAGCGACTGTTACTTTCTTATAGACCAAATTTTTTTTTCTTACCTTACAATATGTACTCATAGAATAGAATAGAATAATATCATTTTTATTCAATATAGATAATAAAAATACTTATTGAAAGTCATTTCAGCTTTACGTAAATTAAGCGTTCATTTAAGCGTTCGGAAAACACCTCTGTCCTAGAAAGAACCAGCAAGAAACCCAGCCGGACTTTTTATTTAAATTACGGTATAAAAACATAGATTATTATAGCAGTGACAAAACAGTACCTTAAACGAATTCGAGTCTAGGGTGTGAATTTTGTTATTAGATAAATCCAAACGGTCCAAAAGCATCAGGTGATTTAATGCCTCTGTCGGCACCGATGGCAACTGATTGTTTGGTAATCCTGAAAAAATACTCACTTTATAATAGAAAATTAAATTTACGAGAACAATACAAAAATCATAGTATATGAATAAAGACCAATAGTACATAAATATATTATAATGGCTGCAAGCAGGGCGTAGGTTCAAATCTCACACGAAACAAATAGTTGTTTCGGGTCTCGATTTGATAGTTCTGGTTCATATGTCATCATGATATATTATGGCAAGCACCTGCATAATACATAGGAAATTCCTAAAGTGTAGATCGTATTCTATTTTACGTAAAAAAATAAGTAACAAAATTATCGTACATCTATTACTATTTAATACTGGAATATACATACATATATGAATTAATATAATACCTAATGCTAATAAAGTAGCCGCAATGGAATTGAAAGCTCCCTGCTGGACTCTTCGAATGTCTCCGGAAGATATCACCAATCCGTGGAGGCCCACACCGGCTAGTTCAGAAATAGATGCAGATGGTAACGCTGATACTCCCCGTAAAGCACAATCGAGCAGTGACACTGCGGTGTTCTTATTTCTTGCTTTTTGTTCTCGAAGATGTCTGCCAATAATCTAAAACAATTGTCAAAACATAAACAGTTTAACTTTTACACTTTTCTAGGTTGTTTTCTAGTTTATATAGTAGTTTAGTAGTAGCTCTTTTTGAAGTCAGTTTTGTTATAGGATAAGGGTGACAAGCGAGTCCACAGTCCATCTGATGGTAAGTGGTCGCTGTGGGCTATAGACATCCTCGTTTGCGAATCAAAATTCAGATGCTGACAACAGTTGTGAGGACTAAGATCGAATGCCTCTTTTCCAGTAAAAAGGGTCTCCGTTTCTCTACACTCACCATACGAAACACAGCAGCATTAAGCTGCTATTTTACGCTGGTATTCTGTGAAAGCGTGATCCTTCCCCGGTTGAGCCGACCTTTACGTGCTACAAATATACAATTAATATAGCTGCAGCAAGGCTCTACCACGTTTAATTAGTCTGATGGTAACAACTACAATGTCGCTTAAATTGTTACGTTAAAAAATTATTCGCTATTTATCCAATTATTTTCCACGGGCAATTTTTTCGGACCAATACGACTTAGGGACCTTCACGAACCAAGCTTACTCCTTTTTAAAAGGCCGTTAACGCGCCTGCAATCGACCTAGTGTTTCAGTTGCTCATGGGCGGAGTCCGACACTATCAGTTGATGCTCGTTTGCCGCCTCTTCTATAAGAACAACTTAGTAAAGGAATTTTTCTTCAAATTTATATAAAGACTGCTGCTGACTGACTCCCTGACGTATAACAATTTAATAACAGAAAATCAGTTCAGTCATTTTTTTATAGGATAGGGTGACAAACGAGCACACAGTCCACCTGATGGTAAGTGGTTGCTGCGGCCCATGTACATCTACATTTATCCTCAATAAAGAATCAAAATGCAGATGCGTCGTCACCCATGAGGACTAAGATGGAATGCCTCTTTTCCAGTAAAATGGGTATCTGGTTCTCTACACTCACCATACGAAACACAGCAGCATTAAAGTTAAACTGCTATTTTACGCTGGTATTCTGTGAGAGCGTGGTACTTCACCGGTCGAGCCGACCCATTCGTGCTACAACTATACTACTAATATAGCCTGCAGCATGGCTCTACCACGTTGAAAATTCTACATTCTCTCAATTCTCATTCCCGAAAACTCGGTAAAACTACATAGAAAAACATACGTGTCGAATAAAAAAAACTCGTTATTTTACGCTTCTCGTTTTTTTAACTTGGTTAAAGAAACGTCTTACTCAATTCTGAGTACCGTCGCGTATTCGGATTTATAGCGCGTTTTAGCAAAACCAATAAAAATTCAATCCTGCATAGATCGAAACTTTTGATTACTCGTCTATATTGAACTTTTCTCAACTGTTACTGACAGATTTTGTATTAAAACTAGAACGAAAAAAAACATTACAACTGGTACCAATAATGAAAGTAAAAATAACATTATGTGTATTTCAGCCATGTGGAGTGGCGTATGTAAAGTTATCACCTCATATGAAATTCAAATTCTTAAGTTAGTACAAAATTGAAAGTATGAAAGAAAGACCTCATGAACTCCGTCAGTTGACAGGTTAACTATTTCATTTTGAATGGTACACGGTGATAAGGAAACTTTAAGGTTACTCCTAGAGCCATGAACAATGTATAACAGCTATGGCTTAAGCTCCGAGTTTCTCTGTGTGATAAAATCCGTAATTAAGATATCCGCAGTAGAGCTAGAGCAACTGACAGAGCTCAGTGAATCAGTGAACTGAAGTGGCTATGGGCCGGGCAAATAGCTGAAAGAAACGACAACCGATGTAAAAAAAGATTCTCGAGTGGCAGCCTCACACCGTTAAACTAAGTGTAGAGCCCCACTAGATTAAGTGCCGACCTAGTAAGAGATGCAGGTATTCGATGAATGCAGGTGGCTAAGAACTGTGTTTTGGCATTCCTTGGGGAGACCTTTGTTCAGCAGTGGACTTGTGAAGGGCTGTAATAAGAAAAAAATCCATAGCAGCACAAAAGCACGAGACGTCTAGTATTGCAATCTAAAAATTACCAATCAAGCGCTGCATTTAAAGCCAATCCGCCTTTATATAGGAGAAGCTCATGTCTAGCGGCAGCCTGTACAGCACAAGTGGATATTGCTGAACTTTTATATTTCACAAAACGCAAACCTATTTGTTGTTTTCATATGTCAAAATTTTAAGAGCTGACTTGCTCCTTTCTAGTCATCAATAAAGAAAAAATGTCGTAGTAAAACGCATAACTTGCGGAGGAAAAAGCCTGATAACATTTACATTTCGCCTACACGCACTTAAGTGAAATGGCAGATTCTTCCTACTCTATTACCCTTTCATAAACGAAGACATTTACCGTGCAGTGAAGCATTTATAGACATACTACATGCGCAGGCATTTTACTGCAAAAAGAGTCATATACAAATAGCGTGTAACAGCAAGGTTATACAGCGTTATTTTTAAAGAGTAGCCAAATTTTAAACTTAAGGTCAAATATTTCAACTATGATATACCGTTATTACAGTTTTTTTCAAATACGAGTAAATAAGGTTTCTACTTTTATTAAAAATTATCTCGAATTGAAAGTGATTTATGTGCAACAACTACTCGTACGCGCGTTCTTTTGTGTGCGATTCAATTCACTACGTTATAACCGACCAATCGACCCTTACGGATGTGTGCGTGCGTAGTAAAATAGTAAGCGTTAGAAATTAATGGATGATAATCAGTTAAAATAATGCATTACCACTTAAATGATATTGATTGAATTTAAAAGGTAAAAAAGACAGATTATTTGAGATTTTTTTTTTAATTTTCTTCACCGTTTGCCTATATTACTTATTCTGAACCTTCTCTGCCAATTTGGCCGACAATCGCAAAATAGCCCTATATACTCGTATTTGCGTAAACTCTAACTCAATTAATTTTTACGAATCTATTTATAATGTTTAGAATTTAGATATTCTTAAAATAAGAATTTTTTTTTATAGAATAAAGGTGACAAGCAAACATACACCCCACCTGATGGAAAGTGGATGCGATTATCCATATACATCTATATCTATTTTCGACTAAGAATCAAAATGCAGATGTGTTGTCATCCCTAAGGACTAAGATGGACTTTTTTACTGGATATGAGGCAATCGTATCCAGTAAAAAGGGTATCTGGTTCTCTACACTCGCCATACGAAACACAGTTACTATTTTACGCTGGTATTCTGTGAGAGAATGGTCCTTATCCGGTGGAGCCGACCCATTTGTGCTACAACTATAATATAGCTGCAGCATGGCTGTACCACGTATAATCCAACGTGTAGTATGTTAGTAATTTTCAATACTACTTTGTCATACAAGTTTTTTAAGTTCGACAGTATTCGAAAGTTCGTGCCGCCATATCCAAATCTCTCGGTAAAAAACTATTGCCATAATGTTGTGTAATTATTCGTAATTCGAAAAGAGCGTAGTGTTTGTATAATTTCTTTTCTATGTAATTAAAATCCTCTGCAGATGCAAACCTCTGCAGTTGTGCGCGCATAACGGAAAACTGCTGGATAGATTTCAAGTAGGTTTTCTAAGTTTTATTTCTTAGATACTTGACCCTATATATAAAAAAAAAATATTACGATACCCTCATTTAATACAAAGTTTTTAAAGTTTTAAGAAACAATGATAATCACACGGGGTTTTTCACACGGTCAACTTTACTTCGCTTGCTCTCGCGTTACTAACCCAGAAAACAAATATTTTAGCTACAAACGGAGCAACGAATAACATTGTTTACAAATAAGTAAGGAAGTTACAAGTAAGTAACATTCGCACATACGAAAAATGCTAGCAATGTAGTAACATTCGTCCGTAATATTACCGTTAATCAGATAAGCTTAAAATTACAAGTATTCTAAAAATTCGCCAATTGTCAAAGATTCTTAGAAAGAATTGCTCAACTACTTCACGCTCTACAGGCGAGATGGTGAGCATAGATTGGTTATTCTAACACTGGAACTCTTTGTTAAGCGTCAGTGAAACTTAAGTCCAGCGTATTTGGATGCATTTTTCGCTATTAACCAACCTCCAGAGCCCCGTTGATCATTAAAAAAAGTCGTCGGTCTAATCAGTAAAAAATACTTTATTTTTTTTTATTTTTTTTTTTATAGGAGAGGGGGCAAACGAGCATGCGGCTCACCTGATGGTAAGTGACTACCGCCGCCCATGAACAACCGCAACACCAGGGGAATTGCAGATGCGTTGCCGGCCTTTTAAAAAGGAGTAGGCTCTTTTCTTGAAGGTCCCTAAGTCGTATCGGTCCGGAAAAATCGCTGATGGTAATCGATTCCACAAGGAAGTCGTGCGAGGAAGAAAACTAAAAAAAACTAAATACTGCGTGTATATGTAATACGTGGTACGAGTAGAGCCACGTTTCTGATTTATTTATGTCAGCTTGACAAGTAAAAACCGCACGCCTACAGAATACGTAACGAGATATTTCATCCCATTTTTTAGAGTTGATAACGCATCAGTATATTGATTCTTTATCATCCTCATGATCATTACAGTCTTCAGAATATTGTTGTTAAAGAATTAATCCCTTTTTTGGCATCAAGGAAAAACCTTCAAAAAACATGAAATTATGTTGTTATCTCAATTTAAAAGAGAAATTATTAAACGAGCGGAATTAATATTTGTTGTAGACTGATAATGATCCTATAATACTCAGTTTTATTTGCGTTTACAGATAATAATGACTTGAGCAGTATTTTATTGTCTTTTCGAATTTACTAAGCGTCCTGCTCATATTTAAAATGGGTTGCAATAATTAGTGGTAAAATTTACGAAGAGTGATAAAAATCCTATGTAATTAACTGTAAAGAGAAGAGCGATATTATAAAAAATACTGAATGTTACTACCAGTAGGTTAAGGTTTATATACAACATTTTTATAATATGAGAAAAATGTGGTAGTATAAGAATATCCAAAATTTATTTTTATCGTTTTGTGTATTATATTAGTCTTTTAATTTTTGA